GTACACACGCACGCGCGCACACACACACACAGACACACAGGCACACACACACACACACACACACACACACACACACACACAGACACACAGGCACACACACCAGCACATACACACACACACACCAGCACACACACACACACACACACACACACGAGAGGCGTCGCCACGCGCCCACCTTGACCGCCGACACGACTTTGTTCCAGAATCCGCGGTGGACCACCCCAAACGCGCCTGCGCGCGGAGCGGTTGATCGGTCAGCGGCCGGGCGGCGCTTTGCAGCACTGGCAAGCTGGGGCGGGCGGCCATGACAGCGGCCGGCTGCGGCGGCTTGGCCGCATGCCGTCAGGGGTTGCGTGAGATAGATCAGGAAATAGACACCAACGAGCAGGACCAAGACGACAGCCCGCCGGCAAGCGTGCCAGTCAGACAGGCGGCTGAGGGCGCAAGGCGCCGCGCGTCTGCGGCGCGGCTGCGGGGCTGGGTGGGCGGGGTGGGGCGAGGTGCAGTGCGGGGCAGAGCGGATGACGCACCGCGCCCGACTTGCTCCGCCACGACGAGCTCCGAGATGAACCCTGGCATGCGCGAGCGCCGCCGCCGCCCCTTCTGGATCTCCTGCTGCAGCACCTGGTGAGATAATCATGGAATATGATGTGGGAAACGATCAGTACGCAGCGTGGGGAGGGGGTGCAGCGACGGAAAGGTCGCAGTAGGCAGTCGGACGGAGGCGGCAGGGCCGATGATTTAAGGAGAGGACGTCGCCACCGCGGCGGCGCGCAGCCGAGGTTTGCCTCGCGCGTGCTGCCGGGGGCCGGCCCGAGCCGCGCGCGTCCCTGCTTTGTCCACGGCGGCACGCGGAACTTGCCCACCAACTCCTACAAGCAGCGTCCCCAAAGTATAAGAAGTCTCAAATCCTGGATAGATGCCGGTCAACCCACCGAGAGCATCGCTTCTGTGTTGAACCGCTGGCCGGATGCCCCGACCATGCGGCCACGCCGCTGCTCCGAAGTGGACGACGCCGCGTCCGGCGCCGACCGGTGCCGCTGCAGGCCGCTGGGCGGGCCGCTGGGCGGGCCGCTGGGTGGGCCGCCCTGCGGCTCCTGAGGCTTGGCGGCGAGGGCGGCCTGGGCGGCGCGGGCGAAGGGTCGGGGCGGGGGGTTCAGGTGGAGGGAGCGGCATGATCGCGTTGCCTTGTTTTCTTGCTTGGGTGCTTGCTGGCGTGCTGGCTTGCGAGGTGGTAGTTCGCTGCGAGGCTGGCCAATGCGATTGATCTTTTCGTGCGGAAGGCAGTCCAATCAGCGGTGCGCCCCCCCTCCCAAGGGCCGAGCCAGCGGTGTCAACATCAGGGCCACACCGCGGCCCGCCTACTCAAAGAGGAGTGGCAAATTGTTTGCGGCCGAGGGGCCGCCGCGCCGGCGCACCTCCTCGGCGAGCCTGGCGATGACGTCAGCGCGCGCCAGCAGCTTCTGGCGCAGCACCCCGCTCACGCTGTTCACGAAGCCCTGGAACGAGAGGAGCAGGGGGAGCATGAGGCACCAGGGCGCTCAGGAGGCATGAGGTGGCATAGTGCTCAAGTAGAAGCGCAGGGGCTAAAACCTCAAACCCATTCAGGTTCATGCGTCCTGACGAATACATGAAACGCCCCAGAGTCGCCTGCGCAGCGATCCCCACAGAAAAGCAACCAGAGGAGTGGGCGGGCCGACGGGAGAGGCGTCCATGGCGCGCGCGGAGGGCGGCGCGGCGGGGCGGCGCGGCGGGGCGGCGCACCAGCAGCGTCGCCTGCAGCTCCCGGAACTGGTAGGGCGAGTCGAGGGCGAAGTACATGCCCCCCACGCCCTCGCGGCCCCGGCCCATGAGCGGCACGACCACCAGGGACGCCACCTCGTCAGGGGCGCGCGTGAAGACGTCCTGGGCCGGCTGGCGGGAGGCCTGCACATACTTGCTGCAGTCTGGGGAGGGGTGGGCAGGCGGGCGAGCATGGTCATGACACTGTCATGCCACACCGGTCGATGAAATCGATACCCTGCCCTACTGTAGGACGTGACGCTCTGCGATACGGCGATCGATTTGATCTGCCGACTTGATATTGGGGCAGGGCGCCCCTCCTCTGTGTCGAGAGGCTGAGGCTCTAGAGGCTGGGGACTCACCGACGATGAAACGGGCCTCCTGCAGGGCGATCGCAGACCCCAGCAGGGTGCCATCCAGCTCCACCACCGTCGAAACGACGTCATCACACGCCCCGCCGCCGCCCCCGCC